CTGTCTCTGTGCTGTGATGCGGTCGGAAACCAGATTTAAAATGGTCCAGGTATTCATTTGAGTTTAAGTATGTGTTCAGCTGATTAAAGACTACCTTTTCAATAATATTTCCTATAAAAGGAAGATTTGATATTGGTCTATAGTTGCTCAATATGGTTTTATCAAGATTGCTCTTTTTCAGAAGGGGTTTAACAACTGCAGTTTTCAGGGAGTTTGGAAAAGTCCCAGAAAGAAGTGAGGCGTTCACCACTTCTAAGAGATCTGCTTCTAAACGGTTAAGCATCCTTTTGAAAAAATATGTGGGAAGTGTGTCAAGATAGCAGGTTGACGATTGAAGGTGCTGTACCATTTCTTCCAAAATTTTGCTATCAATTTTTTCAAAAGCAGACATAGTATCTTCTTTTTGATATTGCGGTCGAATATGTCTAACCTCTGCATAACTTGGGGATGTGCTAATCGCCTTCCTGATATTATTGATCTTCTCAGAAAAGGAGGAAGCAAACTCATTGCATTTGCTGTCGGAGAGCATTTCACTGGCAATCTGACTTGCCTGACAATACTCAAATACAGTGGTGTGAAAAAGTGTTGGCCCCCTTCCTGATTTCTTATTTTTTTGCATGTTTGTCACACTTTAATGTTTCAGATCATCAAGCAAATTTAAATATTAGTAAAAGATAACACAAGATGCAGTTTTTAAATGAAGGTTTTTATTATTAAGGGAAAACTAAATCCAAAACTACATGGCCCTGTGTGAAAAATTGTTTGCCCCCTAAACCTAATAACTGGTTGGGCCACCCTTAGCAGCAACAACTGCAATCAAGCGTTTGCGATAACTTGCAATGAGTCTGTTACAGCGCTGTGGAGGAATTTTGGTCCACTCATCTATGCAGAATTGTTGTAATTCAGCCACATTGGAGGGTTTTCGAGCATGAACCGTCTTTTTAAGGTCATGCCACAGCATCTCAATAGGACTCAGGTCAGGACTTTGACTAGGCCACGTTAAAGTCTTCACAGAGGTGGGGGCAAGTCACACATTTTCAAGTCTCAAGTCACAGTACAAACAAATCAAGCAAGTCAAGTCGAGTCCTGCTAAGGATCAAGTCAAGTCACAGTATCAAACAGGAACAAATATTTTTTTCCCACACGACCTTATTAATTTTTCCTCAGAAATTAACTTAATTATACATTTTAAATAATAATGTTTTAAATATAAATAAAAACCTTCATTTAAAAACTGCATGTTGTGTTTACTTGTGTTATCTTTTACTAATATTTAAATTTGTTTGACGATCTGAAACATTAAAGTGTGACAAACATGCAAAAAAATAAGAAATCAGGAAGGGGGCCAACACTTTTTCACACCACTGTATATACTCATACAATACACTCAAATATACTCAAGCATGTTCAAACAAACTCAAATATACACATACAATAAACAAACAATACACTCAAATATACTCAAACTCAAAATATATTAAAATACACTGAAATGCATATATAATTACTGCAAACACATTACTTAAAAGAAAATCTGAAATAAAGTCATTATTAAATTAGCCAGAATCGGTCATAAACGAGCACAGAAGGGCCGGATGTGTGCAGATGAGAGATGTTTGTCAAGCTGAAGTAATTATCATTGACCCTTTACGATGATGTCACACTGATGATGACCTGTGATTGGCTGATAAACATCCTGCAACGGTCTGAGTTCAGTTGTGTAATGTGACACGGAGTTCACACGCCTCTGTGTGCTGGACACTGATTGGCTCCCGAACAGTGAGAGGTGTGTCCACACACACACACACACACACACACACTTCAGGTCACATATTTTGGGTGGGAGCTGGAAAATAAGACTGAATTAGATGTGAATCACATGTCTCAGTACCTGATGGTTGTGCTGGTGTCCGACTGCGATGGCCGCCACCGTCTGCGCCTGCAGGTGCGTCTTCACCTGATGGACAAACACAGACATGAGTCTGACGTTCACAGGAACACGTCACGCTTCCATAACGCTCCTGTAAACAGCCACATCACAGCCGCATCTGTCTTGCAGCGCATTTCTGAGTCTGTCCTAAATACTTGTCTCTAACGTCCTCTGCCGTTTTGATATTTGAGCCCGTCTCCGGCTGTCTTACTGTCAACACTCAGTGTGTGTGTGTGTGTGTGTGTGTGTGTGTGTGTGTGTGTGTGTGCATGTGTGGGGGTGTGTGTGTGTGTGTGTGTG